TATATCCACATACATTTATTTATTTTGATAACACTTTTTGAAATGCTAGTATATTTCTAAATTTATGAATGTTATTTTAAAATCTAGGAGCATTTTCAAATTTTGGGACGTTCTTTACAATTATGGAACATTTATTATATTTCCTAATATTTTTCCAATTTACCGGAAAATCAAATCAGGCAAAACTTTTCAAATTTTGCTAAAAATGAAAAGTACAAAAAATAAAACCAAAAAGTGAAAAAAGAAAAAAAAAGTTAAAAAATGTATATTTAGTGCCACCTTTAGCACTGCATTACTAGCTCGGTGGGTCTCAGGCCAGTAGCGCTAGCTCACCGACTGCTTCGCTCGTGAATTGAAAAAAAATGTGCATCAATATGTAAAAAAACAGATTCACAAAATAAATTATCAGTTGTCTGATAGATTTGAAAAGTTCACTGACCTAAAGATATTTACAAAATTTTAAAAATGTTCTTGAATTTTAAAATTTTCATGAATATTTGATATGCAACACATTTGAAAAAATATTCAAGATTTTGAAATTATCATGATTTTTAAAAATTTCACGAGTTTGAAAAAAATTAAAGAATTTATAAATGTTCACAAATTCTGAAATGCTCGTGAATTTAAAACAAGAAAAATAAAAAGGTGAAAAAATAAAAAATAAACACAGGAAAAAGCCCAAAGGAAAACCAGTAAACCAAAAAGAAACACGGAAAAGAAAAATGAAACAAAAACGTCTAAAAGATTCTAGAAGCTTCCGAGAACCGGTGAAAAGGTGGCATCATAGTTGGGAAGATTTTGCTATCTCTGCGTGCCCAACCCCGCAAAAAAATGGTGTTGCTATTTTCTCCATGTCTTGTTGACCTGAATAAACTGCCTGCCTATGCAAAGCTTCTTCATCTCCAGATACGACCATCTTGACCGGGAGGTTCATTGTAGGTGAGTGAATATTATTCAGAGCTCACGTACAGTGGCCAAATCGCTCTCATCAAAGATAAAGTAGTCTTGAGACCGCCAAACTCAGACCCAGGACGTAAAGCTTCCGCCACATTTTGCACATTTCCTGACAGAGCTTCTATTTGTGTGTCCCAAGGCAATGTCAGACACCACACCATGCCTCAATTTCCGGGGTACTGCCCTGCGCAAAGGGCATGTTTCTTTCATTTGCTGATGAAGGTGAACAGAGCACTCCCATCCCATTCATATTCAGCAGCACATCTACATAGCTCTATCTATGTCTATCTGTAACAAGTTGCCCGACGCGGCAGTCAGGCTGAGATGCCACCAACGCCTCAGTAGGTGGCGAAATAGGCAGTGCTGGTCCGTCCTTGGAGATTTTTGGCTAGCAGCAATAGAAGAAGCCAGACAGGCCAACTCTGGGTCTGTCTGATACGTCCAAACTATCCAAGTGTACTACAACTCATATTCATCAATCATCATAACGATAAAAATCTAAACTCTGGGTCTGATACAACATCACACAGTATAGTTAGCTACAAATTTTTTTTGGCACATCCGGCGCGCTAAAGCAAGCAGGCGCCACGAGTGCACGCACGGAATTGGATGAGAGGAGCACCATTTCATGTTCACATCTGCCAGGCAAAACAGCAGCAAACGAGATGCTTAGGTACTTTCCACGCTTCTTCTGGCCAGCAGGAATTTAAGTCGGTCGATCAGCATCCTAGGCAGGCCAGCGACTCTGAAATGTTTTCAAGTCAGATAGCTTAATAAAGATACCATAATAAAGAACATGTTAGCTAGCAAGTGTAATTCTTGCAGAATATTGTCAGTGAGCAGTACTACAGATTCAGAACACACATTGGCCGTGATGTTGAGCGATCGGCGAAGGATTTTGCGACATACCTCAGGCTATCTTAGCTACTACTCTCTCTGTAAAGAAATATAAGATCATTTAGATCACTACTTTCTTTACAGAGGGAGTACTAGTTACAGCTGACAAATAGAGTAACAGTTCATCTGCACCGCTCTAGCTCAAGGCATAAATATGGATTGTGATGGAGTGTCTTATCAGATGATGACAATGATAATATATAGAGGACGTGGCGAACATAAATCATCTTTTCCTTTTCTATGAATGTGTACACATCAAAAGAGGAACTTCAGTTTGTGCAACATCACATGTTTAATAACAATTTAACCAAGGCCTGATGGAAAAACTGGAACGGGATGGTTCTGCCCTGCATCCATTCCATGCCCCGTTCACAAAAGGTCCGAGCGTTACAACTTTGGCCATGTTCACAGAAGCAGATACTGCTACCAAGTCTGGGGGTACAAGATCATGCAGCTGATGGCGAACAAGAAGCTCGTCATATATCTAAGTGCAGGCTAAGCTTCTGCTAGCCTTGCCGATGCGTCTGCTTCTTCTTCCTTACCATGGCTCCAACGAGCATTGTAGCCGATTCTGAAACGTTTTCAAGTCGGTCGGTTAACCTAATAAGAACATGTAGCCATCTTGCAGAGTTGCACTTCACTGGGGGGTCTATGTACCTCACATTAATGAACCTTCTGTGGTGTTTTAAGTACACCCGTTGCTGGAGTCATCGAGTAGGTGTGTAGCAGTCCTTTGGTACCGCCGTGAGTATCGTGTTCCTTTCGGTGCCCTCAACTGTTCAGTAGCATCTAGACCTTCTGCAGTTGCTGTTGCACACATCTACAAAATTCAACCAGTCATTCCATTAGCTGATTATACATCATACATAACGTCCCTCTACTCAGAGTACACATGCATAATCCCCTTGTTACCTTTGCAGTGCCGGCTTCCGATAATAAAAGGTCATCGGTTGCATCTTGTGGCCTTTGGGGCATAAGGAAACGACAATCCTGCCAGTAACACCGCCACACACTAGGATGAGAGTCAGCAACACATAGATACAAGCCTGTCAGTCAGACCCAGTGCACTGCAACTCATATTTCATCATCAGGTGGACTGCAAACTCTGCGCCTGAGGCTGGTCGAAATGGTGAGTATCATATACTAGTATATGTATATGATACTACACCCGTAGTGCATACTATCATGTGTTAGTATCATAGATAACTTCATTTATTGCCGTGCATGACACATATTAGCACCACATTTAATATGATACGGTATCATTGATATGATACTCACCCCACTCTTTTTTCATTTAATTCTATGCCATCTCATCAAATTTGCCTAGTTGGCATGCATGATACTACCTATGATACTCCCATTACGACCAGCCTGATACAAAATCATATAATAATATATTCGTAGTACTTAGTTACAAATCCCTCTACATGCAAAGAAAAATAAATAAATCTCCAGCCAACATTTGCATCGATGAAATTAATCAAGCTCTGTTTCCGTGATCGAGCAACAACACTCGGGGGAATCAAAGAGAACATGGTGGCACCCTCACTGACACCGTAGCAAGAAACACACCAACATGAATGAGCACCAGAGAGGCACACCGGCAATGAAGACACATCTCGCCCTGAACTTTATCAGCACTGCTACCACATGTTTTCTTTTTCTTTTTCTACAGTGAGCAGTACTGCACGTTCAGAAACATACATCGGCGATGTTGAGCAATTGGTCGAGGTAGCTAGCTAGGTAGCTATCACAAGTATACTGGAAGCCTGAGGACTCCCATTTTTTGGCGGGACTAATGGCAACGAAGAAACATTTCTTCCGCTATGGGTCCTTCTTGATTAAGGATGGATCGGAAATTAGATTCTGGGAGGATAAGTGGCTAGGTAATGCTACATTCCGTGAACAATATCCAGCTCTATACAATATTGTGCGTCACAAGGGTGATACTATCGTCAAGGTTTTGGAATCATTTCCGCCAAATGTGACGTTCAGAAGGGATTTAATTGGACCTAGACTCCAATCGTGGAACATACTACTCCAGCGGTTAGCCACGGTACAGTTGTCACATGGGTCCGATGTATTTCGCTGGAACCTACATGGGAATGGGAAATTCTCAGTGGATTCTATGTATAGAGCTTTGATCCAGTCTGACGTGCCAGTTGATAATAATAAGAAGATCTGGAAGATGAAGATACCTCTTAAGAATAAAATCTTTGCATGGTATCTTCGTCGCGGAGTCATTCTTACTAAAGATAACCTTATTAAGAGGAATTGGCATGGAAGTACACAATGTGTCTTTTGTCCGCATGATGAGACAATAAAACATTTATTCTTCCAATGTAAATTGGCTCGTTCTATGTGGTCAGTCATCCAAATATCATCTGGCTTGTATCCTCCTTGTAGTGTTGCTAATATATTTGGCAACTGGCTACATGGGATTGATCACAAGTTTAGAACTCTTATTAGGGTCGGAACGCTTGCCGTGATTTGGTCGCTTTGGCTATGTAGAAATGATAAGGTTTTTAGTGATAAAAATACTTCTCTTATGCAGGTTATCTACAGATGTACCGGGACTCTTCGTTTATGGTCCTCTCTACAACGATTGGAGAATCGAGACCTGTTTATGGAGGTGTGTACACGATTGGAGGCTTCGGCGAGGGATATTTTTATCCAACGTGGGTGGCAGCATGATCTTAGGATTGGGCCACCTTCAGTTTAGGCGTTATACAGATTTCATTATCCTTGTATATCGCCTTATTCTTTTATTTTGCCTTGGTATGAGAACTTTGTTGGCTGTGTGCATCTTAGTTATGCAGAGGCCGGGTGTAATGCTTAAACCTTTTAAGTAATAAAGCGCCCCTTTTTGAAAAATCTAGGTCGCAGTGCAACGAACCTCATGGGAAAAAATACAAGCACCTGGCGGGCGGCCTAGCGGGCAGGCGGATGAGGACTGGCGTCATTGCAGCGTTGTTTTACGGGAGTGAAATGCCTCTTCATACAATGTTAAAGTCAAATCAAAGCGGTTTACTACAGGTTTGCTAGTTCCATATATACCAGTTAAAGATAAAACGACACTTTTTAAGCAAATAGGTAGGTAGCAGAGAACAAACCACATGATATGAATTCACCATCCATAGCCATAGCTACAGTGAAGGAAATGTGATGCCAGCGTGCAAATAATCGACATGATCTTCACAAGCTTTAATCATAGATAGCTCATCACCGACACGTCGTGCAGTTGGCCTGCGTGATGGACTCGGTTCCAGGCACCGGACTGCGACAGTGAGCATGCGGTGTATATCTCTAGTGATTCCAGCATCTGGGAGCACTAGCCTAGAGTCCAGCAGATCCTGCAGGCACAGTTCATTGTTCATGGTGGCCAGTGAGAGGGATGAGAGCAAATCGCCTGGATGGGATCCCATAAATAGCTCCAAAACAAGCACTCCAAAACTGTATACATCACATTTCTCCGTCACGTTTTCTGTATATGCTAACTCTGAAATTAATAAAAAATAATTAGTGCATATGTTGCAACTAAACGGTTCAAAAGTTCGTCATAATTATTAGATTACATCAAACCTTACATCTACGTACATATGTATTGCCAAAACTACAAAACTACTAAGGCTTTATTTTTCTTTACCTGGGGCAAGATAGCCTTTGGTCCCTGCAAGCCTTGTGAGATTCCACCCATAAAGATTGAGAATTTTTGCCATACCGAAGTCAGAGATGCAAGCTCTAAATTCATAATCAAGCAAAATGTTGTTGCTTGTTATATCTCTATGGACTATTGGTGACGAACAATCATGATGCATGTATGCCAAAGCATGAACCACATCCAACACAATATGTATCCGCCTTGTCCAGTCCAATTCAGTTGCCATGTCATTATCCTTCAGTGTTTTCGCCAAGTCTCCTCGCTCCATATATTCATAGATAAGGAACCTGCCTTGGTTAGAGGAGCAATACCCAAATAGTTTTACGATGTTTCGATGACGGATCTGCACCAATGCCTCAATTTCACGATTGAACATTGTCTCATTCTCACAATGCTCATCTTCTATCGTGTGTATCCTCTTCACTGCAAATATCTCGCATGTTGGAAGTCTAGCTTTGTAGACAGATCCATACCCACCGGTTCCTATGCAATGCATCTCGCTAAAATTGTTGGTTGCTTCAACAATTTGCATGAACACATTTGCCCCATCAAAACCCCAGATAGAGAAGACTTTTTCTTTTGTTACTTTATCGTTGTTAGTTGCATTGGTTTTCTTCCTTTCATGCCAGAACATCAATGTCACCACAGCAAGAACAAGAGATAGCAGAGCAGGAACAATGGCTAATACACGTATTTTGTATCCTTTCCTTTCCCCTCTGCTCTGATTTGCACTACTACAAGGGGGCAATCCTTTCACCACACCACATAGCATTTTATTATGCATGAATCGCTGCATTGGAGCTCCTTGGAAGAGTTTACTGTCCGGGGCCAGCCCTTCCAGTTCATTATAAGATACATCGATGGATGTCAAGCTTTCCATACTCTGAAATGATGGCGGAATGGAGCCATTAAGTTTATTGTGTGAAAGATTCAGAGCATCTAGCATGATCAGATCACTAAGTTGGCTTGGTATTGCCCCAGTAAATGAATTATCACTCAAATCCAATAGGTCATGTAAGCTACGTAATAACCCTAGCTCAGGAGGGATGTTTCCTCCAAAGTTATTGTGATTCAACTTCAAAAGGCGAAGCTTCAAACAATGCTCAATTGAATTTTGTATCAACCCATCTAGGTTATTTGATGACAAATCCAGCAACTCTATATTGGATAGTGCTCCAATTTCTAGTGGAATGCTTCCATGGAGCAAATTGTCCCCGAGGCTTAGGTTGAACAAATTTTTTAGATTGCCTAGTGCACTTGGAAGCTCTCTTTCAAGCTTGTTTGATGAAAGATCAAGCCACCCTAGTTGAGATAGCTGCCCCATACTTGCGGGTATTTCCCCGGTAAGGTTGTTATTTGAGATGCGTAGCATCGTAAGATTATGACATTCCCCCCAGTGATAAGATAACTGACCAAACAAATTATTTGAGCTCATATCCATGTACACCATATTTGGATAAACCCCCATCTCAGAAATATCTCCTTCTATTTGATTCCTTTCAAGGCGGACTCTTTCTAGGCTTCTACAGTTCACCAAACTTGATGGAAGAGGTCCATTGAGATTGTTGTCAAATGCAATTAATCTCTTGAGCATCCCTCCAGCACACAATTCAGGTGGTAAGGGGCCAGAGAGATTGTTATCATAAAATTGTAGATATCTGAGATCCATTAAGGTGCCAATTTCTCGTGGAACATGACCGGAGAACCAATTACCATCGAGGTATAAGGCAGTGAGCTTGGTCAAATTTCCAAAGGTATTGGAGATGGAACCTGTGAGTTTGTTTGTGCCAAGATCCAATAATTCTAGATTCACTAGGTAACTTAGTTCTTGTGGGATGCTCCCCGAAAGTTGGTTATCCCATAGGTACAAGATAGTGAGTTGAGTACAATTCCATAGATTTTTTGGAATGGGGCCTGTGAGTTGGTTGTTGGAAAAATCTAACTTGGCAAGCTTCTTTAGAGAGCTTAGTTCACTAGGGATGGGACCGGATAGGTGGTTCTTTGACAAATTCAGCCCCACTAGGCTCTCTAGGTGTTTAATTTGCCTTGGTATTTCACCAAAGATTTTATTTCCTGCAAGCATTAGGTGTCGCAGGTTTGGCAAAGATGATGCTAAAGTGGGTGGAAAGGGGCCCCTTATCTGATTGTACGGGAGTCGGATACTCGTGAGAGGAATGCTTCGGTACACCCCCCCTCACAAAGCGTATAAAGGGTAATAAAGGGTAATTTAGACTTTTGACAAATCGTATTCAGTTTTGTACGTAGGAGGACCTCCTCTACGCTGGAATACGGCACAGGCACAGCTAACCTGGGCCGGCCTATTTGCGCTGGAAAATCAACAAAAATTACGCCCTATATGGGTATCGAACTCACGACCAGCCATATAGTTCCAACCACTGGTAGGAACTTCGGCTGCCTAACTCAAGTGCTACAGACTGCCACGCCTAAAGAATTAGTGAAAGCGCAAACACTTTAACACCAATTCACAAATACATAAATGGGTGCGCGGATCTAACACACAAGCTCCTGCGAGTGCATAACATCACTAGTCCAAAACGATCTATTATTTTGAAATTTCGTATGTGAATTTCTGTTTCACAAAGTAATTTTTTTAAACCCAAACATTTTCAAAATCTGTGAACATATTTTTTAAACACAAACCTTTTGTGAACAACGTTTCAGACCCTCAAACTTTGTTTTAGAAAAATAAGAGCACAATTGAAAGTGAGAACATTTCTTGAAACTACAAAAAAAAAATTAAAATACGAACATTTTCTTGTAATAGGAACAAAACTGAAAACATGGACATTTTCTGAAACTATGAACAATTATTTCAAAATGCGAACATTTTATGAATTCCTTGGAATGTTTTTGTATTTTCAAATTGCTCATAATGTCAAAACACAAACATTTTTACAAAGAGCTAACAAAATTTTGAACCCGAACATTTTTCTTTTAACATTTTAGGAAAGTCACTATTAAATTTGGAATTTCAAGAAAACTACGAATAAAAATTTGTAACAATTTTTTTCAATTTGCTCGATTTTTTTGTTTTCGTGTAGAAAAATCACCATGTTCAACGTAGGGTGTCGGGGTAGGTCAGAAGGCTCCGTTTGGGAGCATGTTTTTTCTCGACATCCGTCCAATGACCTAATTTTTTTCACTGGCAACAATTCAGGGCACCATGCCAAGGTTTTTTGGTTTTCTACAAATTTTACATTTTCTGAAGCTTTCTTTGTCAAAAAAGGGTGATAAATTGCCGAACGTGTCGCAACTTGCATACGGTGTCGAAAATCGTTCAAACTTGGCATGAATTCCTACCATGGGTAGGCCCACCTGCTTGCAAAAGTTGGGTTATTGCAAGCGTATCCAAAAATAGACATCCATTAAATGGCCCCAATTATTCCCATGGCCTTGTATGGCCAATTCAAGACACCATGGCAAGTTGTTTTGGTTTTCAATAATTTTTGCATTTTCTAGAGTTTTCTCGGTAAAAAAAGAAAATAAATGCTCGGACATGTGGCAACTTGCATACACTGTCAAAAATAGTTCAAACTTGACATAGATGCCTACCATGTGCATGCTCAACTTCTTGGAAAAGTTGTGGTCATTTGAAGGATATCTAAAAATAGACCATGTTCAAATGAGTGCATTCAGGTAGGTCAGAAAGCTCCGCCTGAGAGCACGTTGTGTTTCGACATCCATGAAATTGCCCCAATTTTTTATATGACCTTGTATGGCCAACTAAATGCACCATGCCAACTTTTTTTTGTTTTTTTGATGAATTTTGCATTTTCTGGAGTTTTCTCAGCCAAAAAAGGTCGATAAATGGTCGGACGTGCCGCGACTTGTATACGATGTCAGAAATCATTCAAACTTGACATGGATGTCTACCATGGGCATGCTCACCTACTTAAAAAAGTTGTGGTTATTTCAAGAATGTCCAAAACTAGACCATGTTCAATGAAGGGTGTTCGGTTGCCAGAAGGCTCTCTTTGAGAGCACGTTGTTTTCTTCACATCCTTGAAATGGCCCCAATTTTTTCATGGCCTTGTATGACCAATTCAAGACACCATGCCAAGTTGTTTGGATTTTCAACAAGTTCTGCATTTTCTGGAGTTTTTCCGATGAAAAAAGACCGATAAATGATCGGGCGTGTCGCAAGTTGCATGCGGTGTCAGAAATCATTCAAACCTATCACTGGTGCCTACCATGGGCAATGCCCACCTTCCTGCAAAAGTTGGGGTCATTTCAAGAATATCCAAAACTAGACCATGTTCAATGAAGGGTGTTCGGTTGCTAGAAGGATTCATCAATTTAGAAAAAAAATCTTTATTCATCTTGAGAAATCATTCATCTTGAATAAAGATTCATCAATTTAGAAAAAAAGAAATCTCTACTCAACTTTTGCAGGAAATGAATAAAGAGTCATCTTGAATCATGCACGGAAAAAGAAATCATGCATCTTAAAAAATCATCTACTCTAAAAAAGAAATCATTCATCTCGAGAAAGATTCATCAATATTAAAAAAAAGGTTCATTGATTTTTTTAAAGGAAACTGAAAAAGTTTGCACATTCAAAAGAAAAAGTAAAACAAAAAGGAAAATAAAACTAAAAAGAAAAAAAAGGGAAATGAAAACCGAAAAAAATGTTTGAAAAACTAAGAAAAAAAGGAAATCAGAAACAGGAAAGGGCAAGGAAGAAAAGGACAGGACAGAACTACTTAAACACAAGTGCTCAAGTCGCCGGTTGGTTATCACGTCGAATTTTGTACAAGGTAGAACCTGGTTCGATTCCTCTCAGCCTCATATTTTTTCGTGATTTAAAATCAGAAAAAAAAGAAGGGAAAGATGGGCCGGCCCAGCTCACTATACATCGTATACAGCAGATGAATTATTTCTAATATATGACCATCGTGCCCTTACTTATGAAGAGGTATCGATTAATCTGGGCCGTTCACGTGTTTGGGGGGTGAGGGGGGAGGGTGTACCGAAGCAGAAGTGTACTCGTGAGAGTATGCAACGCCGTGAAGTTGAGGTATTCCAACGCCGCTCTCAGCCGCAAACCCCGCAGAGATATCTCGGTGATCATGACCTCCTGGTGCCCCGCTTGGTTCTTGCCGCACTTGATGCCATACCAGGTGCATGGCCATGTGATGTTGCTTCCCCAGGACTGCAGCTGGGCTGGGGGGCTACGTATGGTGGCTTTCCAGGCAAGGAGGGCTCCAGCCTGTTCTTCCAGGAGAGATGGGGGTGCTGCTGCGATGGCATGGGAAAATCTTGTGACTTGTGGGCATACACGCAAGCACCTGGCGGGCAGGCGGGTTGGTGGAAGCTGACCTGAGCCTGCGACGCTTGCTTCCAGCTCCAGCGACGGAGGAGAGGCGGGAGTGGAACACAGCAGCCCCAAGGCGACACGCCTTCGCCCTTGCCCGCCGTCCGGCGTCTCCGCGCCGTCACCGTCCCCGCTGTCGTCGAGAGCAGAGGAGGAAGGAATGTTGGGTTGGGCCACTCTGCCGGGGCCATGACTACATTTTTCGGGGCCCTATCATTATTGCACACAAAATAAGATGTCTTCCATTCAATAAACTATAATCTCTACCAAATAAGTAGCAAATTTTAATACTTTGGGAATAAGCAAAATATTCATGTGCCCATGTGAAGTATGGTTCCACTATTGACAGGATAATTGTTGTTCTTTGTTACTTTTCACTTTTTCTGGAATTTCCATTTGACACGTTTAAAATATTGCCATGTGAACATTTCCCATGCATTTTGCCATCATCTAATTACTAAAATTTCTGTGGTATAATTTATTATTTGCCATGGTGATAAAATTGTCATCACCTATTACCATGGTCTAATTACTCAAATTAAGGTGGAGAATGTGCACTAAAAATATCATGGAATTTTTTTTTTGGAAAAGAAAGAAACATGTCTGTAAGATTTTTCCATGCATGTAAAAAAAGATCAAATTATGAACAAATACTTTCCATGGCAGATTCATAATAAAAAATTGCCATGCTATTTTAATTAAATTTTTCCATGTTTGATTGAGAAATTTACCCTTCGTGTAAAAAAAGAAAAAAGTATGAACAAAGGATTGCGATGGAAGATTCATAATAAAATTTGCCATGGTATTTTAATTATAATTTCCATGTTTGTATGAGAAATTTCTCATGTGTGTAAGAAAAGAACAAATTATGAACAACGAACTGCCATGGCAGATTCATATTAAAAGTTGCAATGGTATTTTAATTAAAATTTTCATGCTTGTATGAGAAATTTGTCGTGTGTGTAAAAAAAAGAATAATTAATGAGCAGAGAATTTGACATGGCAAAAAGTTAGTTTTGCCATGCTACCGATTGTAAATTTGCCGTTGCAAAAAGAAAAGGTACATTTCGCCATGGTAAAAAAAAAGTGAAGAATTTCCATGGTGGTGCAGTTAAAATTGCAATGTCAACAAAGGTAAATTTGCCGTGGTAACCAATGTAAATTTGATTTCACAAACGTTATTTTCTAAATTCACCACAATCATATTTTGAATCACAAACTTTTTTGGATCCATGAACATTTTTTAAATTTGCATACAATTCCAAATTCATGAACTTTTTTTATTCATGATTAATTTTCAAAAGGTTGAACTTCTAAATTTATAGAATATGTTTTTATTAAAACTACACTATTCAAAATAAGAATCAATGGGGAAAATCGGATAAAAAGGAAATCGCGGGCTCTCTCAGGAGCCTCGTACTGTCGTATGTTTTTTTTTTGAAACGCAGCCTCCTACGTGCGTGTCGAGGAGAACACATATGCAGTGCTCTACTCGCTCAGTCACGGCACGACCCTTTGTTTGCTCGGTCAACAATTGACCGGTCGACCGTTATGTTTTTTGAAAACATTATTTTTTAAAAAGTGTACGAATTTAAATAAAATGTTTGTGGATTTGAATATTTTTATAAATTAAAATAAGTTCATGGATTTTTATAAATGTTTGCAAATTTTAAAAAACAATGAGTTTGAATGATATTCAAGAATTTCATAAATCTTCACGAAATTGTTAAATTTTTCACGAATTAAAAAAATGTTCATGAATTTATTTTTTCTCACTTATTTTAAAAATGTTCATAGATCTATTTTTTGACAAATTTGAAAAAAGAGTTCATGAATTTAAAAACTATACATGATTTCGAGTAGATAGGCGCTTTGTTTAAAAAAGGCTAGATACGAGTTTTCCTTCTCTTTTTAAAATTAAGTACACCCCCTGTTTCTAATTGTAGAAATGTCTTATACATTTAAAAACAGAGGTAGTAGTAGATCCAAAACTACACATGTTGTATGCTTTGAGGTAACTTTGTGTAGTGTTTCTAGTGCTAGGAGTGTATCACAATGCATGTGTTTCCTTGCAAAAAAAAGGAATTTTTTCGCTACCTATTATGGTAGCGTGACCGAGCATCCGTGGCACTAGAACATGTACATGGTCTTCAGTTAACTGGACCACCAAACTCAGACCCAGGGAACAGAGCCCTCGCCTCGGCTTCCACCACAGAGCCTCTTTCTCTGTGTGCTCCTTGGCAATGGCAATGGCACACACCACACCGCCAGTGTACTGCAACTCGTATTCATCACCATGTAAATTCCAAACTCTGCGACTGATACATCACTCACATAGTATAGGTAAGTTACAAAAATTTCTCTGGACTCTCGCAAAGGAAGAAATCTTCAGCCAACCCTTGCATCGCTAAAAACCAATTAAGCTCTGCTTTTGGCGGCTGAGCAGCAACCTCTGAGGAAATCAAAGAGCTGAAAAATAGAGTAGATAACAGATCACGTTAAGTGTAACTAGAAGGGAAAGTGCACCGTTATTATAACTCGAATGTAAATAAAGGATGTGATAGAATGTTTTATCAGATGATGAGAATGATAATATACATAGACTGTCTAATATGTGGTGTGACATAATGTTTTATCACATGATGACAATGATAATATATGTAACATGTGTAATATGTGGTGACCGACACCAATCATCTTCTCCTCTCCCTGCCTTTTTGTGAATGTACTTATACTTGAAAAGAGAAACTTCAGTTTGTACAACATCAGAGGTTTACCAACTGCATGAAGGCCTGATGGCAAACTTGGATTGGAACTGGATGGTTCCGCAGCCATTCCATACACTGGCACCGCTACCACTTTGGTCATCTTCCCATCATTTGAACTTTGAAGAGCGTCTTGGGCTGCTCGATTGTGCAGAGTTCAGTAAATGGTGCTCACCTCCTCTCTGGTGTTGATGATATCTTTGGACTTCATTGACTTAATTTGGGAATGATCGAGGCTGGGTGCTCCAGTAAGCAAGAGCGCGGAGCAAGATTTCTGGGATACAGCTGAAGACCAGGACTTGAAGAAAGCCAGATGAGACGAGCAGCATTCTTTCTTGTGCTGAGAAGAAAAAGCTGTCCATTTATTTCACCAACAAGCAGGTCCCCTGCGTTCCATGTTACATCTGCCAGGCAAAGCAGCAGCAAAGGAGTGGCCACGACCCAACTATTTCACAAAACTAAATAACTCACAGAGCTAGGTGAATTCAGATAATCATCTCGAGAGAAAATATAAAATGAATTAAGGATTCACGTTTACGCCACCCACACCAAGGACACGGCGGCTAGGGGTTTACCCCAAGTAATAGGAAGATGAGCTCTAGGGCTCTCCGGTATATCTGTGGTTTTATACCCATTACAACCAGTGAAGAGTAACTTTTTTTTTATCATAGTGAAAGGTAACTTCGATCAATGCTGAAGTAAATCAGGTGAACAAGCAGACAGTAGAAGGTCAATTCAAATAGCGACAGCTCCAGTCTTCAGAACCGTTGGATGCGCCATGAAGGGTGGTGGTGTGTCGCCACTCAGGGGGGAAGCGGTAAATTGCCGTTAGATGAAGATCCGACGGTCGACGATGAGCCCGGATGGTTTGGCGCCAGCCCCTGGGTGTTGAATTCTTCAGTTAACAACATGACAAGTATCGATTTCTTCGGAAGATGATGCAGCCTGCAGGCTACGCTTCTTCTTCTTCTTCTTCTTCCTCCTTAGCGTGGCTTCAGATATTCCTTGGCAGACGATTCTGAAATGTTTTCAAGTCAGTTAACCTGACAAGAGCAAAGAGCTAGCCTGCAGAGTCGCACTTTACTGGGAGCCTCTGCAATCATAGAGTGTTCCTTTCGGTGCCCCAAACTGTTCAGCGGCATCTTTACCTTCTCACACCTGCAAAATTTGACCAGCCAGCCCATTAGCTGATTATACTATACATAACGCCCATCTACTTACTCAGAGCAAACACAGCTATCAAGCAACCAAACAAAGAATCTCAGTTGAGTCTGAAACTTTGGAACCATGTATCAATTCATATTCCTAGATTCTCATGGAAATAACACCGAACCATTACGCAACTACCTTGCAGCAAAGGGAGAACATACCTTTCCCAGTGATAGGCTGATAGCCCAAGACAGTACTATTCTCATACTTTGGCCAACACCTTTTCCATGGCCACATGAGGTTACCGATGAGATGATCTACAAACCCAAAGTCCTATACGCCATTAAATTTCGTTAAATAAGAACAGTTATGATGAATGCAAGAATACCTGGTATTAGTAGAATGTATACTGAAATTGAAAAACTGTAAACCTTATCGATTGCAAGAATACCTTATCAGTGGAATGTAGACTGAATTGAGAAACTGCAAACCTTATCAGTCGCAAAACACTGACAACTCATTGTTATCCATAATTACGCCAAGATGATCCTTTGATCCCTAAAACTGAACTTTCCAGGTACACCATCAGTCTTCATGAGTTTTAGACAAAATGTAAACACAAGTGGCTAGAAAGCCTACCAAACAAACACTAGAACGCCTGAACACCAAGCAAACATAAATTAGGGATGCAGGAACACCTGGTACTGATAGCAACATAGCAGTGTATGAAACAAAATGATCACCTTAATATAAGTACCTTGACCCAAAGTCTCATTTATTCCGTACTGATGCCGTAGCGATATTTTGGTTGTGACACCCAAAATAAGAAGTCGACTACCACGT